ACAAAAAACCTCACCACAGTACAAACAAAAAGCCTCACTCCAATCTGCCTGTTATCTGAAATTACATTAAAGATGAAGATCTTTCTTTCCTCATCCATCAGTGCACAGGGGCAAAGAAAAAAAAGTAATGTCACAATGCCCAAACACCACAGGGTCTGTTCAGCCAAGTAAAAGCATTAAAACCAACAAAAACAAAGAGCAAAGAGAACTACATCTCTTGTTAAAATAAAGAACAAAAAAAAGAAAAAAAGGAAATGTCGTGGTATTTAGCCATCTGGTAGCTGCTTGAAAACAAATTGTCCTCAAAAGAGCAGAAATACAGTATGTCTTCTCTCAGTTCACTGGCTTATGAATCAAGACGACTTTTTTCTTTTTTCCTTTAATTCAGGCACAGCAGTGTTGGACTTTGTGCTGCCGCCCAGCCCTCTCTTGTCCCGCCGTGCAAAAATGGCCATCCCCATCAGAACTGCTTTCTGCAACGTGGACGCAGCATTTGCAGTCTTTCAGGATCCATCTCGTTGGGCCCATTGTTCCAAATCCCCCCGGATTTTTCTTTTCCTGACAGCTACTCGATGATTTTTTCTACCCTTAAATCTTTCATTTTATAAGGCGCGTCATTAAGGGAAGATGGCAGCCAAGCGATTTTTCTTCCCATTGACAATTTGTGACATTTCTCCAGCAGCGTGCAAGGTGTTGAAAACCTGGCAGCTGTTACCTCCCGGGATGAAGCTCCTTTTTTATCCTCCCTTGACAGTTTAACTCAATGGGTCAGCACCTTTAAAGACTGCAAAGTACCACTGAAGTGGATGGAGGCTTGAATTACTGCTCCCTCCCTAATCAATGTAAACCCTCGCTGCAGGTGAAACTCTTCATCTATAGAGGTGCATGGGGGAGGAAAATGTAATGCCCTGAGCCAGATGGTTCTCATCTTGTTTTTTAAAGAAGAAAGGAACAAGCTAACAAGGGGACAGCTACTTTGTTAGCTTCTTGGCCTCTCTCATGGCTTTGGATCCCCAGGGTTCCAGCCACACAAGAGAAAGAATACAGAAAAACATAAACACTTAAACATAACTAAGGGGCTGGCAACACGCTGCTTTCAAAGACTTGAGAGTCCTGTTCAGCGCTTTATTTATCACTGCCCACGTTCTTTGGATGGTAAGTGGACATGGACACAAAGGACAGGGGGAGCAGACAACACTCGCAATTTACTCAATTACACAGGAATGCAGAAATGCAGCAGGGTGACAGATTCCTATTAGCACTACTGCTGAAAGAGCCCAGTGCCCTTTCTGCCACGAGGCAGCATTCCCACTGTAACTCCAGCCCCACTACAGCCCAGGTTGGCTCATTTGTTACCCTGCATGGAGTGTTACAAACAAATGGAAAATATTTTTCCCTTTTGTTTGAGAAGGAAGATCTTTAAAAAAATAAATAAACATAGTAAGTCCAGGATGTGCTTCTAGTGAATTCGGAAGGTTTTTTTCAACCAGCACCTCCCAACTTGCAAGCATTAACAAGGTAAAAGCTGAGGTGTGCAGGACAATGTTACTGACCTGGTTCCACCCTCACTCCGCCAGGTGGATCAGAAGGGCAATGCCCTCCCCAAGGGCTGGAGGACCCTTGCTCCTTCCCACCACGCAGCTGTTCCCATTGCAGAAACAGAAGAAACACTCCTGGAGAGCACTGCTGAGCAGCCCCATGGGCAGGACAAGGCCAACAGAAAGGGCTGGCTGCTGCTGCTTTTTGTCTTTCCTTTGCTCTGCCCTCTTTAGCTGCTTTCTGCTTCTAACAGTTTGCTCTTGTATTGACTTTAAGCCCTTTAAGAGTGGAATGTGTCTACCCGAACACCAAAACAGCGCCTAGAGCATGTTTTAGGTGCTACATGTAATTTTACAAAATGATCTCAAATCCATAGGAGTGAATCGAGGCAACATTCTGTGCCAAAATGCTAACGGGAAAAAAGCCCTGAAAATGCAGAGGGGCTTGCCTGAATGGGGAGCAGGCTGGGATTTTTCCCCGGACTTCCATCTGGAGGCCTGATGAGCGACAGCAGAGAGCCAGGTGAGCTTTGCAGAGGGTTGCAGGAGGGAGGCCACAGCAAGCTGCCGGCATTTCCCCCCATGGCACCCGGCAGCCCCAGGAGCACAGCGCAAGGCACTTCGTCATCGCCCCGCCAGGGGAGGGAGGGCAGGGCTCGAAGCAAGCCGCATTGTGCCCGTCTTCTTTAAAAACCAGAGAGGTAATCAAGTTCAGGGCAGCCCCGGACAGCTGCCCTGTGACCTATTCATGTTGACCCCCGCTATTCATCACTTTCCTTAGGACTGTGAGGGCAAGCTCCCGGGGAGTGACCACCACAATAGACAGATAGGAGCCAACAATAATACGGTTCCCGCAAAAAAACCAGATGGCACTGCAATAAATTTACAAATCTGCATTCATGGCTCTGTTAAAAACACCCAGAAGCTAAAAGGCTGGAGGGGCCCCCAGAGAGCTTCCCCTGCCCGGTTTCTAAAGGCCGGCTCTCTCCCCAAGACTATTGAGCTCGTGTTCTTCATAAATGAAGAATGGAGACGTAGCCCTTAAAATAACAAATGCCTGACCTAATCAATCTAGCGTTTGGGGCTAACACTAAATGATAGGCACTGAAAACTAATTATGTTTTTTGGCAAGGAAGTTGAATTAAAATGGAAACACACAGGTTAAAAAGGCACTGAAGCATTTGCGAGTCCCTTTGAAAGGGCGGCACGCACACACACACGCAGGGCTTCAAACAGGAACCTGATTCAATAACTCATGCATTTATTTTTAAAATGAATCAGATTAGTCCCATGTGTGACCTGCCGGTCCATCTGTATGAGCTGGACTTAATGGGCACTCTTCTCACGCTTACTTCAGTTTGAAGTATGAGAGAGATAAATTTAGTTTAATTTTCAACAGATCAAGCTATCCATTTTCCAAATGGACCATCTGGATCAGCCTATTAAAATTAATTTATAACTTTGCAGTGTGAAAATTCGTTTGTTAGCTTAAATAAAGTTGCCAGAAACTTTTGCCACTCATCATTGTTTTTCTCGGAAGTTTTCGTCCTACGACTGTCAGTTTACCCCTTCAAAATTTAATTCTGTCAGATCATGCGCCCAACAAGAACTGAGCATCTGCATCCATAATTCAAAACCTGCCACAGCTTACATCTTTTTCCTGTTCCAGCTCACAGAGTCAAGTTCACTGCCTGTTTCTGCTTCTGTTCCCGCTGCTGATCTCCGTGTCCCCTGTGTCCTGCAGACCCTCCTGGCAAGCCAGGGCTCCCACCTGCACAGCTCCAATGTTGGCACTTCTGACGGCAACCTTGTACGACAACCACCTGAGTCAACAGAAGGGTTGCATTTCTTGTAGTAAGAAGTCCACAGCACTGAGCTATGTTGGTCTTCAACCCCTGTGCACAACTTCAGGTGCACAAACAACCGCCTTTTTGTTACCTCCACCTCCTGGTTATGTCTGTTCCACAAACCCTCCTGAGGACATGTTTATGGCCAAGGCTGCACACCAGCATAGCAACCAAGAAACAGCACTGCATCCCTACTTACATACATCAGCAGCTGAACATACCATCACACCATACTTCCCCTGAAGCGGTCTGCTGCATCTCATTCACTTTCTCTAACAAATCAGCAAGGACAGAACACACGGACACTTTCAATAGAAAGACCATGGAAGTAAACAGATCTCCCCCTCTCTCCACATACCCACATTCGTTGCTTCTGTGCAGGAGGTCCATGTTTCTCAATAATGAAATTTCAACAGCAGTGTCCAAAGGGAGGGACAGAAAATATGAAGCTGTATACTCAATATTTACCAAGTTAGCATCTTTCCACTAAGGTACTAGGTACTGAATTCAGCACTTTTTGTGTGTTACTGCTTTCACAGCATTTGCAGGACAGATCTTTTTGGTATTACAAAATACGCACAGATGTAAGGCAGGTTAATCTCTTCCTCGAGGATATGCAGATCTTTACTCATTGATTAAGGCATAAAAAAGCACAAGACTGCATTTGTCTCTGATTTCCCCACTTAGAGCTGGAAAATTCCCAACTGCTCCTTGTCCATCATTAACAGAGAAAAGGTGCAATCTGAGCTTCCAAAATGCTTTGACAGTTCTATTTACGCTTATATAAAGAACCAAAATTCCTTCCACCACAAGATCACACAAGGTTTGGGCAACCAACTCTGATGATCTAGACAAGAGGGCATTTGCTTTCAGACTACAGCTTGAACTTGTCCACCGGCAAGCAGAAGTGCTCCACACATAAGGCGCCACATTGCAAGCAGAAGGCCCAAGGACTTTGTCCTGCATCTGCCCTGCTAAAACCTGGGCACAAAGACGAAGGCTATGAAGGCTCAACAGTACATGCAATGCAGCTGATCACCACGTTTTGAACTATGTCTGGTAAGAAATTTGCTTTATTATAGATAAATGGCAAAGATATTAAAGTTCTATCATCCCACTCTTCCTTCTACCAATTAGTAATATATATGAACGTATAAGAAAACAAATTAGTCATTTTTCAGGTTATTAACCTGGGCATCACCTCCAAGAAAATTCACCTTCAAGGGTAATGGAAAACTTAATTGTTCTGGAAAGCTCTGACTTTCTTGAACGCATGACCTGAAACAAGATAAAATACACTACAAACAAGGCAGGAACAAGAACAGAAGAAAAGGAAGAGAGCTGCATGAACACCGACTGGAGAGAGGTAAAACTAGAGAGTTCCAGCTGACTACACTATGCAGAAATCAAGATTTCCTTAGAAAGACTCATGAGACTCTCCTGAAAGCTAAATCCGTATGGCTGATTTTCCTGGGTACACTGTGACTCGCTCAGAGCCCAAAGGAGAAAAGAAAGAATTTCCACGAGTGTAAGTCAGACTTCAGCTTCCAAAAGCATTTAAGGATTCAAATAGCTAGAAAGTTTTATTGCATTTTTAAAGAGACTGATCACATACCTGTCTAAGTGAATTCTTCTCAGGAATGATCTTCCTAGGGGGCTCATCATTATTACAGTCTTCTCTCTCAGAGGAGTTCTGTGAAAGAAAGTAAGCTTTAATTCAGTTCTTATCCCTAATAGTACTCTGCGAGGAGAAAAGAAACAGAATATTTGTACAACGCAGGCTATAGCATTTTACGTATACACATACAGGAGGCTAACGTACTTCTAAGCCAAACAGCTTGTTATGGCAGAAAGAGCATCTCCTCCTCAACACAGCAACGCACCATTGTGCAGGTACCTATGGAAGAAGCCTGTGCTTTGGGGATTTGTTCTGAAATTACCAATAACTGCCTCTCTGACAAGCTGGAATAACGGCTGGATGAGCATGGTAGCACCAGTGCTCCTAGACACCCCAGTATACCCATTGAAAACAGTGGAACTTGATGAAAACAAGACTGTTAAAGCCTAGGCAGCATACGGTAGCACTGCTACGTTTCTCCCTCCTGCCCTTGACTCCACCTACTACATGTACCATTTCTAGGAAGTCTGAGGCTGCAAAACATAAGCTACCAGATCCAGAGAAGAGATCAATAAAGTAAGGAAAGGGGACAGGAAAGAAGAAATACGAGGGCTTTTGCAGCATGAGTAAGAAAGGACAACAGGAGAGTTTTTTTGTATTAACCTCACAATTAAAGCCGATTACTACTCACTTCAGAGTAAAGATGGGCTAGAGCATCTCTCAGGATAGGCATGAACTTTAGCAAACATCTGGTAAGAACTGCTGGGTTCGTAGGGGAACCCTGTTCTCACATGGCAGTTCCTGTGCACAGGTTCAGTACGCGCCAGCAGCATTGTGACAGCCAGCTTTGGGGGAATCCCACACACACATCTCAAATCAGTTTGATCACTACAGTATTCATAGCCTTAGGCCACATTCCCACGCATTCAGTAGTGAGTAACTAAACAGGTTTTAAAGAGAGACAGAAAAACTGGTTAGGGAGAGCTCTGCCAGGAAAAGGGTGGGTTTCCAGTTCCTTGCAGATGAGCTCAGGGTGCAGAATTTCCAGCAGAAGCGTGCATGCTGTGCCACTATCCTCTTTTCCCCTAGAGAACCTGCCTGGTTTCTCTGAGGGCCAGATCCTCAGGCAGAGGTGGGCTGCAGGGCTGGCGGAGGGGAGAAAGGCACAGCCAGGAGGTACAGGCAGAGAAATAGCAGATAAGGGAAAACAGTTACAACAAAAACTCAAACGTTTGGGATGTCGTCAGCTGGTGGGAAGGACTCAGTGTAAATCGTGGCTTGCAGACCAACTAGAAATCTTTTCTGCGTTTTTTTTTTGTTTGTTTGTTTTTCCAAACAAGATATAGAACTCGCAAGGCACCATGGCATCAGGGATGCTGTAACCAGGGTTTTATAATGGAAATCAATCCTAAACAGCCCTGATAAATCGCTGCGAGAGGTCGGTTTTTAAAAGTTTTCATGTGAGGTCTCTGCCAGGACCCAGTTATTGCATTAAATCCAGCCTAGGAAGGACTGCAATCATAAAAACACACAAGCTAGAATCACATATCTCCAAAAAGAAAGGTCAGACATTAAAGCTGCTCTCTGCTAATCATGAAATACAGCCTGGTAAGTGGCTAAATTCAAGCGAGGATTTTAATTTCTGTGCTTTGGAGAAACAGACCAAGTACAAGAACCACAGAAATGCAAGGTGAGAGCTGTGCATTTCTTGGAAATGCATTTAGTTGCCCAGGTCAGGAAGTCTGGGGGGACTGCTTACTCTTTCTGGATGGTTTTTCAATAGTCGACCCCTTCCCCACTGCAAGTGCCAAAATGTTTTCCCAATCTTTTCTACGGCTCTGAAATTTTCCATCCTTTCTGCATTTCAAACCATCAAAGATTCCCCCACCAAAACTATCAAAAAGGAGAAAAATCAGTGCTGATGCTGGGAATTCCTAGTTCCTGCACAGCATCAAGTTATCTGCTTTTCCTTTAAGCCGAGCATCTGATTTTAAGAGCAAGCAGAGGACCATTTTGCATTCATTATCTTTATAGGTGGCAAGGCTAAGAGGTTGGCTGAACAAAGACCAGACAAAGACTGCCAAGTGCATATGGTGGTTCACAGCTTGGCGCCTCACCATCCTACAGCACCAACACAGCAGCTCCAATCGCAGCCTATTAAAGAGGAGAGCTGCTCATGCACTTTTGTCGGCAAGTAAGTTCCGCTTGGTGAAGACAGAATGACTGGAAAGCATTACACTTAAGGAAAAGCACAGATGTTTGGAACTCCCGCTCATTTCTCAGGAATAGGAAACCCATCGATCCAGGTGCAGGTACAGGATCCTGCATATTTCAGGACTAACTGTGGCTGTGTGGACGTGATTTGCACTTGATAGGGCGACGCTTAGGCACGGCCATGGGAAGAGCATAACGTAATTGACTGAAACGGCACATCTATATATTTCTCCTTGCTGAACAAGGTGGGAGGAGGGATAAACACACGCGAGGTCACAACAAGGTTTGCCTCGGCAGGACTTCAGCGATGCTCCCGGCCACAGGAGAGGAACAAAGGGAGGACTGCTCTGAGCACCCTCTCGTGGCTGCTGAGACGCACATCCCAGGCACAGAGCTGGAAAGGAGCATTTGGTATCCAGACGGTACCTTGGCTGTACTCGCTGGGAATACTAAAGATCTGCGGCGATTGTACTTGATACAGAGGGGACGAGCGATGAAATTTATTAGGGTGAAAGGAGCAAAGAAAAGCAGCACACACAGAAAGCTGAAAAAGCCAACGCAGGGGAAAAGGATAAAATCCCCAAGGCAAGCCTTCCTTCCCAGGCTGGCCAAAACCATGTTGGTTACAGCCGTGGAACTCACATGCAAGGGTCTCTCCTTTCACACAAGGACAAGGGAGGTACAACGAGAAACACCAAAGTCTCCAGACCCCAGACCAATCAGCCCCGGTGAGATGAACACACAGGGTTACCACAGACAGGCAAAATAATTTCCCAAGGTCACACAATGACGGCGGAAGTGCCAGGATGAGAAGGCAGCAAACCCAAGCTGACGTTTATGTAACCTTCAAAACCTGCCTCTAACAGGAGGCTCTTGCAACAAGAGGCTTTGCCCTCCGTAGCTCGTTTTTCCTAAAATGGCCACTACTGCCTGGAACGAGAGCCTTTTAAATCTGATTTGCATTTAAAACTTCAGCCTGTAATTAACAGAATAGAATTCCGTGGCAGGTTGTCTTAAAGACCACTACGAAATTATTACTATTTAACTCTCCCCATGACGCCTCCTCCACCACTAAACACACCATGCTACGATGCGTACGAAATCCCCAGGCTGAGGTGTTTGATGGGAGATGACACGCAGTATTTTGTGTACACAGCCCAGCAAAACACTGCTGGGAACGAGATATAATACATGGATAAATGCACTCCCAGGGACTACCAATTGGGCAGAGCTACCTTTAGTACCGCCTCGCTCGTCGCGGTGGAAATCAGAGCCCTGCCAACTGGGGGAGGCTTTCTTCGGTGCCGTGCTGCCCAGCACTAATTATAAAGCGGTACAGATGCAGCCTTTTTCTGAGCGTGGGGAGGTGGGGTGGGGGAGAAGCGTGCGTCTATGCGAAGAGCACAACTATTTTTTATGCTTTCAAATTCTTAATCCTGTTTGGAGCTGTCAGTGGGGGTTAATGGAAGCCTTGGATAGGAGAATTCCAATCTGGTTGGCAGATGGATAGGTTGGTTATAGCTGCATAACTATGTCTTGCCTGCAGGCACAATTCAGAACACTGTTAAAGCAATATAAAGTCTCTGTCAAGCTGAACCATTTGGATCAGTAGCAAGGAGAAATAATAATAAAAAAAGGAGTTCATTTCTGGGCCTTGCGCGTTTACGCTAGTATGCAGAAACTGATTAATTGTCATCGTGTGCTGGTCTGCTATACCTCGGATTTCTACTTCTGGAGTAGATTTTGCATGCTAATATAATCATTCTCCCTCTTGAGACATTAGCAAATAATCAAATGAAAAACAGGATCATAATTTACTGAGATTCGGGCAATTCTCTATGCAAATTTGACTTGTTATTGCTGCTGCCTCGTTAATCTGAATGCCTTTGACAAACTCCTTTGATTTATGAACTCATGACAACTCCAATGTGTATATATTTTGCTAGATTGACATTATCATTAAGAGTGGGTGGACTGAGCTCACATGAATGGCTGATTTTATTCGCTGGTGTCTGCTGCTCAACAGCTGAGCATCTCCTTCTCACAAAGCCCCTAAGCACCAGGCTCTTCCCATCTACCCATCCATTCATCATCTCGATGTTAATTGGCCCAGGCTTTAAGCAAATTTTCAACACGATTTAAAGGCACGATGACACTGATTACTGACCCTCTGCCATACGGTGCCTATTGATTAACCTGACAGAGATGATGAGCTTGAGGGAAACTAGGTGTGTGCGGACCTCAGGGGGAAAAAAATATATTGTTTATGCAGGCAAAACACTTGTCATTATCCCAAAGGCCAGAATTTGTACTGCACTGGCCCTTAAAACACACTATTGCTTTAAACACCTGCATCCAATACAGAAAATGCTTGCTTGCTGCGGAAAAAATGATTACAAATTTGATGTCATGTGCAGTCTGTATTTTAATCGAGTTCCCTGATAAATAGACCCCCTCCAGCCAGTCGAGCCTCTCTCCAGCCACGGCGTGTGAATGCATCGGCTCCAACAGGAGCCAGGGCAGGGCATGCTTTTAGTGGTATCAGCAGATCCAACCACATGGAGGAAATCTACTTGGGTATTTCAGGTCCCTAAGCAAATAATGCAGAGGGAACGCGGTGTCCAAGCAGTTAGAGTAGAGTAAACGTTTCAAGGGCAAACTGGATGCCAGATGCAGCCATCGCAGTGGTTGCTGCCACATTAAAATAGATGCTCTAGTACACATGGGCAAAATACCACATTTCCCCTTTCCTAGTGCAAACTGTTGATGGCACTTGACCCTCAATCTCCAGAGAGGATTCAGGCATTTTAGCAGAGCTCAAAAATAACTGGCATCCCCTTTCTTGCCTCTTGAAGGGTCCC